CCGGGGGCGCCGGGAGGCTGGGCGGAAAGCCCGGGCCGCCGGGGCTGTATGCACGCACATGGATATAGAGAGAGATATCTAGGTATATCTAGGTGTTATGCTCCCCGTGCCACCCAGACGGCCTTTTACCCCCCTCGGGCTGTGGTAGCTGTCCCGGGAGAAGGGCTGGGGCTGCTGAGGGCACGGGGGGAGGCAAACAGGCAGCTCCGCCAGCCCGCGCGGGGCAAAAGCGGCGCGGGCGCCGCGGCCTTCCCGCTCGGAACCCGCTGGGAGCCGAGCCAGCCGCAAGGGTCTTCCAGAACCGGGACCAGGTGGGAGCGGGGTGTTGGTAGGGATCTGGGGAGAATCCAGTCCATCTTCGAACTACACGTGCCTCTGACCAAAATTTCCCTCTGCGGACTCCCTGCTTTTTCACGTTCTTCAGATTTTCTGTCGATTGCGTATGGTGCAGTGAGCAAGGATCAAAGTAATCCTAGTGGTACATGTGAAGCAAAAAGCAGAAGTGCCCTCCTTGCTGCAGTGATGCTCAGATGTGTCTCTGGAGGGGAGGAAGGCACCAACCTTCCTTTATTTATATCCTCCTTTAATGGAGCTCTGCTGAAGTATTTCTTACAGGGCTTTTAAAATGCTTTTCATACTGCTAATAGTAGCCCCTTACTTGAGATCAGTTCTGTGGTGTGTTTATGTATTGAATTTGCTCTTGTTCAGTGCATACACAAATTGATTTGCTACGGTAAGGATGCTTGAGTATGTGTTGATTTAATTAAGAAAAAAGCCCTTTTATCAGATATCCTATGAAGAAGAATAACTAGGGTTTTGCATGTGTGGGGTTTTTTTTCTTGTTTTTAATCAATAAAATGTTTATCAAGTTTCAAGACTGGCAATACTTTTTAATGCAGCTTGTCAGAATCATGGAAAATATTCTTTACTAGCAAAATATTGTGGTAAGTTACATACGTGGTATGCGTTATAAAGGACTAAATAAGTTCTATGAGGCTGTGTTTGAACTCCTTCACTTGCACAATTGATAGCTTTATCCTTAGTGTTTAGCAGGGAAGCTGGAGAAATGGCATGTGCCAAGTTCGATAATGTGCCTCATGTTGTGGCCGGGGAGAGAGCGATTTGGATCCTGCTGTCCTTTTTCGCTGTCAAAAGTTTAAGAAAAACTTTCCTGAAATCCGTAAGCTTAATGTATTGTGCCAATGTCTTGCTCTTCATCTCAGAGCCCTTCTCATAGAATTTTTTTTTGTGGTGACCGATTAATTGGTTTTTATTCCCCGGATTAAAAAAGTAGATAGTAAATGAGGAGAAGGCATTGACTGTATTCTGTCTGAATTGAAAATTTTATTAAAAGCTTTTCTTATTGTCCCTTCTATCTCTGTAAATGATGTGTGTATTTCAATTCTTTTTCCATGTCTTTGTTAGTCTGAGTTTGTAAATTGCCTAGTAAATTTGGCAAATAAACTATTTGTAAAGTAAATAAATATTTATATACATACGTTATATATATACACACAATCCTACTGATGGTATACAGAGATGTTATATCTAGTTACGTAGACATTTCTCCTGCATATGCAAATTACTATATTCCAGACAGAGCCATTTAACTGATTGAAGTTGCATAGAATATCAGTTATAACTTAATTTGACTTTCAATGTAACTGAGCCCCTGCGATGGAGAAAGGACAGTAAATTTCAGGTGACTGCCTTTCTCCCTGAATATTTTCTGGATGCAAATCAAATATATTGTTTATGGAGTTTTAGATTGTATAGTCCAAAATATGGTCCTAATGTATGGTCCTAATTAAATACCCAGGACCCTGTTATTTTAATCCATGATAATATTTTACTAGAGTCTTTCTAATTTAAGTGATATTTTCAAGTGTTCGAAAATGCTGTGTGTTTTAATGATGAGAAGGGTTTTTCATGCTCTAATTGTGATATGCTGAGTATACTTGAATTTTTAAATGGAAATGCCTCATTAGAGAAACTTTTCATCCAAAGGCAAGTGATAATTTACTAGTTTCCATACTAGTTTATTTGAAAATGTTCACAGTAACTAATACCAAAAAAAATCTCTAACATTTCTGGACTGAAGTGGTAGATCCAGACCTCACAAATAGTCCTTTTATTTTGGCTTTTTATTATTTATTTTACAAACTCTTGAATGACTCTCAGTAGTTATTCACATAGATTCTAGAAATATCCTACCAAATATTTATTTTCTGCTTATATCACTGGCTCATTTGTATTTGGGGTTTTATACTTACCCCGTATACTTAAGCCCGAGAAGGATGAGATTTACTTCACCAGGGACAGTTTTACATCACAGATCTTGTGCTGAACGAGCTAATTTAATGTGGTATCAGCATGGCTAGCCGGCTGCTCAGGACTCAATGCAATGCTACAGAAGAGAGCAACTTTTGCTTTCTTGCTAATCTCAGACCAAGAGGTGGCTGTCGCAGGATTATTTGGCTGAATTTTACAAATTATACCCAGTCCCACCCTGGCTTTCTCAGAGCCTGGGTTCACCTCAGGTCAAAACCCCAGTCTTGCATCCAGGCAAGTTCTTTGTTTTCACACGGATCTCCTGAGTCTGGGGAGCTGCAGCCGCAGTTGTTCAAGGAGCCGGTTACCAGGTAGCTGTTGCTTTTCTCCTTCCCGCTTTTGAAGGACCCTTTGAAACACACAGTAACAAGCAAGTGGAGCTCAGGCTCCTACAATGCAATGGGCAGCGATGGACTGCTTGGTTTGAGGCAGTTTGGCAGGATTATGGGTTTTGATTACTTCAGAGACAGAAGGTGTAATGCCTAAACATGAGTCAACCCTCTTTTAGTTCCAGGTTTTATAAAGCAAAGTACAAATCACAATGAGGATGGCGGCTGCTCCTACATTTGTGTTATAAAACTCCCGCCTGAGTTGTCCTGAAGCGAGGGGAGGTTGGTGTGGATGTAGCCGATGGCTCCAGGGTCACTGCTGAGTTGGGAACCACACTTTTATCTGGATCTGAGCTAATGCAAAGAGCTTTTGCACTGTACTGTGCTCCTCTGGGCTTGAGGAGAGTGGTTGGTGCTGAGGTGCCTGATTTGCATCAGCACAGAACGAATTCTGGCCTGCGTGCCATGCAGGCTTGATCTCCACATCACACTGGATGGTTAGCAGGGCATTGTGCCTGAATCTTGTGCAAACCGTGCCTGCAGGTTTAGTCTGGAACCTGGAAAAAGCACCTGTGTATAACGAAGAGCAGATTGGATTTTTGTCTCCATTCTCAAGAGAGAAAGTTGGTAGATAGGTAAAATGATAGAGGGGTAATAGCTCATGTGTCCAAGTTTCAGCTTTCAGACCTGTTTTGGTTAATTACAAGGTGGTCCTCTTCTAGACATCATCCTTTGCACACTTTCCTGTATTTGCTAGTTGAGTAGGTGGAATGGATAGTTGTGGGTTTTAATTGTTTGTTTGTTTGTTTTCAAAATGTGTATGTGGGTTCCTGTAATCGCAGTTTTAGGATTTGCTTCTTCATTCTTTATTTTTTTCCCATATGTTACAAAAGTGGAAGCAAGTAGTAGCAGTGGACAAGTCATTTTTAATACCTTGATAATAACACTTGCACTGCCAGTGAAGATGCCTCCAAGCACAGTGACCCTGGTCCATCAGAGTGGCTACGAGAAGCTAAGAGCGTACGTAGCAAATATAACTGCTCTGCTCACTTACAGGGGGCTTCTAAACACCCTGCAATGCAGTTGGTCCTGTGGCCACATTGCAGGGCTACTAGATCTGAGTCATTTCCAGTTAAATCACTGCTGGCAAAGGCTGGGATGTAGCAACAAAATCACTGGCTGATTATTTTCTTGTACAAACCCAGGATGCAAACTTCTATTTCAATATTTGTAATTCTGAAGAGCTGCTTCTTGTCCGACTTTGGGTTTAGCTCTGGTTTGCAAAAACTGGGAATGGAGAAACTAAATTGTAGAACTCTCCTACTCTTGTAGTGCTCTTCCTTGTGGACCTCTATCTACTCTCAAAGTGTTTGAGGCCTGCTTACATATGACTGATGCATCAGCCCCCTTCAGAGGCTGGTAGCGGCCTAGGTGTGGACTCTGGAATAGTCTGGGGTCTTAGACAGCAAGTTGCTCAACTTGGCTAAGTTTAACAGCCATTCTGGATGTGTGCAGCAGGAGAGTTTTAAGCTGGGAATTAGTTCAGCTGGCAAAAAATGAGGCCCTTGAGGGTTGTGTTTTGGTGCTTAATCATTTGAACTCTGCTGAAGATGCCCTTTGTTTTATGCACATAGTGCTTAGTGAGGGCACTCTTGGGCTTGTCTGTGAAACCTTCTTTGGGGTGATGATGTGAGGAGCGATTAAAAACAAAAAAAACAAAAAACAACCTGTATGATCAGTCCAGCATGGGTTTGCTGGAGTGTGAGTTAAAAAAGGCAATTTTATTCAGTTGTAAGCAGGCATACATTTTCTCTAAAGTTACTGAGACAATAATTCATAACCCATTTCTGTGACATCCACTATGAATACCACTGCTATGTTTTTCATGCCTGACATACTTGGATTAGTTATTCATAGCTGTTAGCTAATACCATAGCTGTAGTGTTTAATTCCAGACTTACCTCTTCAGTTAAATGAGCCCATGGTTTTTTTCTGTTCTTGAAAGTTTTATTCTTAATGTTTAATTTGTTCTTTATTTCAAAGGTTCTGAAGAAAAAGCACTTGAAAGATGTGCATCTCCAGCAAGTGTCTGTAAGAAGGTTCACATCGTTCAATCTCTTTTCATTAGAAGGCTGGAATACAGAAGACGAGACTGGGTCCTGGGTTCAGTATAAAAGCATCTTTCATCCTGAATATAGTGTGTCCTTAAGGTAACCATCATTCAAGTTTAAAGTATTTTCTAAGATCTTGTAGAGGACTTGAATATAAAACTTGTTAATGATTCTTCTACTGTTTTGTACAACTAGGACATAGTTTACAAATAAACTCTTAGATGCTATTTTTAGTTGTTTGTAGCAGCTAGTCTGGTTTCTTTCAGTACCTTTCACTGAAGTGCCAGAGCTTGAGAGAAAATATGGATGGTTTTACGTATAAAAAATGCCAATGTGAGTGTTTATTTAATCTTTCTAATAACTTTCTGGTTTGATTTTTGAATTTCTCTTGATATAAATAGAAGTAATAGAACTGAACAAATTTACTTTTCATCTTAAGAAAACATTTTAATGACATGATATTATTCATACTGTTCTAAAGCTTTTTTGATAGTAATCTGCATTTTTTTTCCAGTGTTCCTCTTAATAATTCTTAATTTAATAAAATTCAATAATAGTTTGGAAGTTACTTTGCAAAAGAAAAGAATAAAAGAATTTCCTTGTCTTACAGACAGAATTTTGTACCTAATTAAGAAATTTGTTTTATACTAGATCAGCTAAAGTAAATGAAATCTGTATTAAAAGATAGAATAAAAAACACTCTAAAGGAAGTGTTAACAATTTCTGAGTGGCCTTAGCAAAACAGAGAAGTTTATAACTCTGTCCATTTCTCTGATTTTTTTTCTTCTCTCCTGCTTTTGTTTCCTTTTCCTTGTGCAGTTTTGAACATATATGTAACTTATTCATGCCTCAACAGGTATCATTACAACAGTAACTTAAGCATCCCTGAATTAATACTTGTTTTGCAGCCTGTAATTTTCCCTGCTGAGGGTGTAGGATTTTATGTTCTGTGCACAGTGGAGGATATTCTGGAGAGCCTGACTCACTGAAATTGTAAAGTGCATTATTATTTAACTGGGACCTTTAAATCACTCTTAGAGACTAAGATCTAACACAAACAAGTGACCACCATTAGCTGTGACATTTTGCAAGGTTATAAAAAAAACCCGCTTCACTTGGGGGTTGTCTTAAATTTGCCACTGGGTATAAAGCCAAATATCAAATCGCTTAAAGCTTTATATTTTTCCATTTTCCATGCTTATACTTACTAATGCTAAAAAGCTTCAAGAGAAAACTTTTCCATTTGAAAGTACTGTTTATTTGTAATAGAAATAGATACAGATTTTTTTGTAAGCACATTTTTTCAGTGAACTGTCAGGGAACCTAGGGATTCAGCCAGATTATCCAGCTAATCTTTTTGTGCAGTGCCTATATGCTGGCTTTACATCTTTAGAGACATACATAATAGCAAGTATAAGGAATGTGGGTCTGTTTTAGGTGAAGCAAGTCTGGTTGCAATCCTTAGCTTCTTCATTCAGTCTCCTTAATCCACTACAACGACTTGTAAGGGTCAGTGTCATTTACTTGATCTACTAGTTATGGATAACAGTCTTAAGGTAGGAGGCAGGCTAAGGTTCACCTGTGCTGGCAGTGTAACAGTCAGAGTTGTGTGTGACAGGGCTTGCTCTCAGGGTTAATATTGGTGCAGTTGTGTTCCCTTCACTTCCTGCGTCGTCCCGTTACTTGGTATTTGTAGCTTGGCTAATGGTAGCACTGCCCAAAGAGACAGGACACAGCTCAAATTGTAGGTTGCAAGCAGGCATATTTGTTTGTGCCTGAATTTATTATTGTTGATCACTGTATGGAAATTTGAATTGGAGGACTTTGTTTTGTACCTTTTATGGTCCTCTGAGCGTGGCTTACAGAAATGTACACTGCTTATTTGCTACAACTTACATTGGATTTCAGAAACTATAGTGAGGACAGTCAGCACAGTGTCTTCTGGTGGGCAATTTTTTTTCTCCCTATTTTGCTCCTTTTCAGTAAATACTCAATGTTCCTTAAAAATGATAATCACAGTGATAATTTTAGAGATAATGATCAGAAACTACTAACAATTATACTTATATATACTTGCGCATATACTTATATAGAGAGAGACATACGATAAAGTAAGTCTTTATTTAATAAGGTAGCTTTCCTGTTTTCACAGAAGCAGTTATTTAAGAGCTTAAACATTAACAGCTCAGTATTCTCCTTGCTGAAACTTGTGTGTGTAGAACTATAGATAAAAACCTATGAGTATTCTGGATCTTTGGAAACTGATCTTGTCTTGGGAACTTACAGCTCAGCTGCATGCCTCCTACTCTTTCCTCTGTTTTCTTCTTGCTATTTGCAACATATTAATTATTTTCCTTTTCATTAATTGGAACAATTTTCATAACAAAAGCATCAGTCAGATAAATCCAGAACACTGCACTTGAGAAGGAGAGCCTTCTTTTGACAGGGAAAAACAAGGTTTCTGTGTCTGCTTTAAAATCTTGACAAAAGTGCATTTGAATTTTCATCTACATATGCTTTCCTCATGCATTAAGATCTCAGGAAAGCCCGTTGCATATGTTGGATGTTAAAAGGGTTGTCATCTAATATCTCGACAAGACTAAATACTTCAGAAAGTTCATAAGGTTGTTAGTGGCTTTTGGCAAAAAGTCTAAAGGTCAAGCTGTATCAGTTCAAGAGCTATCAAAACTTATCAAATTGTGTATTCAGATATGCTATGACCTAGCTGGAATTACTGCACTAGAGAGACTTGGGGACTGATCTGTTAGGCAAATAGAAGCTTCAATAGGAGCTACTTGTCATGTGCATGTTTTCCTGAACTTCTCAAAGCAGCTAGTTGAATAAGCTGCTGTTTTTCCTGAACCAAATTCAGTTTGGATTCACATTCAGAGAAAGAAGAGTTTATACAATGTTTTTCTGTTGCTAGTTTAGTGGAGAATCATTATTGATGATGAGTCTTCCAGAGCAGAAAGCCAGAATCACCAGGTCAAATTTTAGCTTAAAATATTTAAGTATTTATGGATTTGTGTGTCATTTTGATAGATTCTTAAGGCAGGATGGTTATTGGATTATTTTAAAAATCCACGTTAAATTCCCCTCATACTTCTGCTTAATTGGTGACCTCTCATAGGCCTAGCAAATGTAGATCCATGGTGCATGACAGAATTTAGTTTCTTGAAGTTTTTGTAACATGTTATCAGTACTGAGGTTCTTTGCTATAACTCCACGATATGAAAACATGTGTCTGATGCATGTGTTTATTGTTGTTGTTGCTATCAGTGAAAAGTTCTGTCAAAAATGGATTTCTTGTGCTATAATATAGAATCTCACTTGATTAGTCTAGTCTCATTTGGATGTGTGTCTGAGTTTAAGTTCCTACCAGGGGTCCTGGACATGATGATATGAATTGGGTGGTTGCATACATGCAGTTGCTCTCTAGTGTGGTTTGCAGTTACTGTTAATTAAAAAATACATGCCTACATTTCTCCAGTAAAGCAGATTGTGAATCAGTCTGTATGTTTATGACAGTCTAATGTGAAGAATGTAGACAGATGTATACAGTAGAAGTTGGAATCTTGTTGCAGTTTTCACATCCAGATTTGTATAAATTAAGCAAAAATAATCTAGCCTGCAGGTGACAAATATAAAACTCACTTTGAATGAGGTTTCTAGCAAAAAAAGTGTTTTTCATCACACACATTTTCTGGCCTTCTAGACCCTTTGTACATATGAAGTTTTTATGTTTATCTCTTGTCTTCTAGATCCATTACCCTTTAGAAATGGGGTTTTATCTATGAAGTTTTTAAGTTTATCTCTTAGTTTTGTTTAAGCTCTTTCTAATTTAGGGGGTATTTCACTATGCTATTCAATGTGTTAAGTGTCTGTTTTCTTGGTGAGCAAGCAAAGCCATTTAAAAATATATTATCACCTTTAACGTACAACGTTTCCAAATTCATCTGTTTAGTCAGGAATATGCTCTTAAATTTAAATTTATGTTGAATAGTTTTATCAATGAAGTGATTATAGATCGTAGAGACTTAGTGTCTTGCTCTGGCCATGGTGTCTTTCTTTTAGACAGGAAAATTATCCTTTTATTTGAGTAGTTTTTAAAAAGAAGCAATCGATATCTTTAAATTTTCTTTTTCAGGCTATGGATTTACTTTAAAATTGTAGGCTCATTTTAAGTAATTAGAGAAAAAAATAAGTTATTTTCCTGGTAAAATAGTTTTCATGGATCAGTAATTTGGTACTGCAAATACTAAAACGAAAAGCTGGAAAGAACAATTTCAGCAGCTTACAGGAAGGGTTAAATCTTTTTAAAGTGCATTAAGTGTTTTTTGCAGGGTGTTATGCCTATATTCTGAAAACAAACCTTCAGATAAAAATATGAAAGGTATTTATTAGATAATTCTAGACCTTTGGTTTAGAAATGAGAGGTGTAATATTTGTTCTTGGCAAGTGATTCATTAGAAGATGGTTTAGAATGAATACCTCTGCATATTCCTATAGGGTATTTCTGCTAATAATATATGGAAGTTTTTTGTTTTTGTTTTTAGATGTAGATGTATAGAATGAAGGGATGTTGATATCAAGGAATATTGTCTACTCTTTATGGCCAGTTTGTAAGGATATGATAATCCTTCTCTTCCATCTCTTGGTTGCTAAAGGACAATGTGTGGATTAAGCAGCACAAAAGCTTGGCCATAGGCCAACCTGTTTGAGGAAAGATAAAAAGTGATTTGGCAAAGACACCTGTTTTATTCATTGATCGGGCTAAGACTGTTCCATCGTATTGTCCAAGACTTGCATATTTTAAAAAATAATTTGTAGACAAAGAAGATATTATGTGAGTATCTTATTGTATTAAATTAAGAGCTCAGTTGGAATGAAAAGGGATTTTATCTTGTCTTGCTCTAATGTGGCCCCCCCAAAATGTGATCTGATTACATAAAAAGCTTTCATGTAATTTTTCTCAGATTCAAACTGGGCTGCAGTGACAATTGATGGTGAAACTCATATATAGCATCTAACTTTGTATATACAAAGATAATTGATTCATAGCCCAAACTAAGGCATTTTGTTTTGTTTCATATCGGGAGAAGCATTAATTAAATTAGTTTATCATTCATAGATTTGTCTTCTATAACTATCAATGCCTGAGCCATACCCATGCATGTAACTTTTAGCCTGCCCCTCAGATTTGTGATGGGAAAGAGCTGGGAAGTCGCTGGTGCAGTTTGCCTCCAGGCTATGCAAATAGAGCTCAGAATGGAAAAACATGGGGCTGTTACCAGTTGGCAGCTTGTTTTCATGACCTCCCCTCCTCACAAGTACCTCAACACTGTCCCCCAACGTTAAACTTGGCAGTCGGTGCAGTGGAAGTCATGGCAAGAACTCCTCTTGATTGGGTTCCCACCATTTTAAGTGGTTACTGATGGAATTTAAGAACATGTTCTTTAGCCTGGTGCAGGGAGAAAACTATCAGCAGGAGGAATTATTCTCCTACCATCTGCTTGACTTCAGAAAGTGCATTATTGATGTGGAATAGTCTAAAATAGTCCATAATAGTAGTATCTGTAAGACCTGAGTTGTGTTTTCTGGGGAAAATGAGGGTGCTTTTGCAGTTGAGATTGCTTACTTCTCCCTTTCTAGGAGATTCAGGATAGCAAAATTCCTCTGCTGGCCAAGAGACTCGGCTTAGAATCATAGAATCATTATACTTGGAAAACAACTTCAAGATTATCAAGTCCAACCGTAACCCTTCAACACCGTAATTGTTAAGCCATGTCCCAGAGTGCTTCATCTACATGTTTCTTGAGCGCTGCCAGGGACGGTGACTTCACCACTTCCCTGGGCA